ATAGGATAATGTAACGTGGCATAGTCCAAACATACACATATAACAGATTGGTTCCCACAGAACCCTTTAAGGTAACGCACAGACCCTGAACCTATCAGTTCTGGCTACCTAGATAGAAACCTGAACCTATCAGGTATGTACTAACTGACACACAGTTGTACCCAGTCTGACACACAGACTCCAACTCCTAACTCTCCACACAAGCTCCAAATATATATACAGTACAGCTCCTCCCCCCTGATGTCCCGCCTTCCACTCCCCATAGGATGGAACTTTCCCTCCAAACCCATGACAGACAGGTACCATCAGTGCTGTATGTGACACACATGTTTCAGCCCAATAGCTGAGTTCATGCTCAGTGTAAAGCATCTACACCAGGTTCTGAGTTGGTCACACAGCACCTGGATTTTTCTACCTCCTTCTTCTCCTCCTCTGAAACTGAGCTTGAGGTCAAAGCCATGACATCCCAGTTGACTCTCTCCAGCCCCATTTAGGAGAGAGAGCAACCCAAGTTATTTTTGATATTCTGTGGCTTTGAAAGAGAAGGGCTATAGCCTAAGGTAAATCCATTCTGTCCTGTTCTAACATGACCTTTTTGAAATAATAATCTAATGGACTAATTCAACCATGGGTGAATATGGCCGCTGGTCAAAATTTTTCAAACAAAGATCATCTGAACTCTTTTTTTGTGCCTGAATATTTATTTAATTGAATAATTGCTGTTGCTAATAACCTATGTTGCTAATAAATTGAAGAAGATATAAGCCTCAATTTTCTGTGTTTTTTTAAAAAAGGGATTGGAACAGTCTGTCTCAAATAGACTTATCACAGTTTCTCCTCAAAAGAGTCTGATAAAATAGAACTAAGTCTCTTAGACCAAGATTCAGACATGCTCACCATATTTGAAAATGCATACAATGACATGTCTTTTTTCCAAAATGCTGTCAACTGAAACTTACCAGTTGGTTTTATCCTCCCCACTTCAAGGATTCACTCTGTATTTTCTCAAGTACATTGGAACTATGAAATGTTAAAATATTCTTGTTAGAGGCATAAAGATCTTCTCTGAACAAGTTAGCAATTTGATAAGCATGTGTTAAATAATGAAATTAGTTTATTTGTTTAAAACATCCGTAGTCTATCATTTCCTTCAAGCAGATTACAAAAGATACAGTATAGCTGTAAAATAATATGGAGACACTGTAAAATGCCATAAAAATAGCCTTAAAATAAAATAAATCAGTGGGGCAGACCTTTGCCCCTGCAGATGTGAAAAACAAACACAAAAGAGTCACAGTTAAAAACAACCGAAAACTAGGGAAAAAAATAGACTGAAAAAGATGCACTGCTGTATTTAGTAGAATGAGAAAATGTGGCTGATCTAAGATCAGGTGTGGAACAGTTTGGTGGGGGCTTGAACCTGGATCTTCCAAATCCTAGTCCAGTGAACACCACCCCACCCTGGCCTGTCCATGGTGTTTTTTCCTCAGAAGTATATTTTTTACACAGCCTGGCTGAGGCCTGAAAAGTTAAGTTCCACAGTTCAATGACTGTTTTGTTGTTACTCTGCACCAGAACCTTAAATTGCGGACTGACATTTCATTTACAAAACTAAAAACTTATATAAACTAAATTAAATACAATAATAATATTCCATAATATGCAGAAAAGTGGGTGGGAGGGTATCATTGAGAGGAGAAAGCATGCTGTGATTAGTGGCATTTCAGCAGTCATAAAAATGCTTATCATTCTCTGAGCAAGTTTATTTGGAGGATTGTATCTGAAACCTTTGCATGCCATGTTTTAGTATAATTAATGCTACGTAATACTATGTATGCTGTTTCACAGTTTGCCTTACTGTATGAGCTCTTGATAACTTTAAGTCTAGGCAGACTCCACGATAAAGGGAGAAAAATACATTTGCTTGCTTCAGATATGTGGGTGTAATTATTCTGCAAATCATCAATGTGTTTACAAGAATTTGAGTTTCTTTTGCTAGAGTCTTTTTGCAGGCTTGAAGTTGCTTGTTTTGTTTTGCCCCGTGAAAAAGCATGGGAGAGAGAGGGAATAAAAGTATTTTTGACAATAAAAAATGTGGAGGAGGAAGAGGGTTGATAAGCATATCCTGAGCTTATGCAGAAAGCAGGAAGGACTCTGTTATCAGATTCATTCTCATGATTGAACAAAGTCACTTAATTCAAAAGCTTTGTGATCTGAGGGGAAAAAATAAGGAAATTAATTAGACTGCTCCATGGTGAAGATTAAGTCAATTTTCTGGCTGTTACAGTCATATTTAACCAACAGTTTCAGTATAACCAGACTGTCTGTTGTCCTGCCATCTAGAAGCATTGGTGTGATTGATCAAGTAAACAGCAATCCCTAAACAATTGCTTATTATGTGGAAATTCTGCATCCCACAGTACTTTCTTTTTAAAACATCAGTAATAAAACATTCTGACAACAAACACAGCCCCTGGCTTTGATGCTTATACTATGTGCTTTGATGCACCTAGATTTGACTATATATGCAGCTTTGGCCTCAGATATGTTTGTATTTTAGATATCTATAGTTATTTTACCTGTGTTGTGTGTAGTGGGTACACATTGTTCTTTTATTTCTATGTGATGTTTTTATTTCAGAATTTCTGTTTGTCCCTCATCTTAAAAGGTAACACAGTGCCAGGCTGAAGAGATGAAATGTGACTCAAAACAGAGTGAATCAGCACTAAGGGAGTGGATTAATGTCCAGCTGAGGTCATCTAACCTGTCATCTAATCATCCCTTTCAGTTCCATAGAAGGAATGAATATCATCTTGTTTTTCCTGTTTACAACGGGAAGTTGAGGCCAAGGTTGCTATACTAGCTACAGGCAGGGTGTGCACAGGGCATGAGCTGTAAAGTCCATTCAAGAGGTTAAAGCCTTTGAGACAACTTCACACACAATACTTTATTTTCAGGTGTGTGTTTAGAAACCAGAGGGAAGTGGTGGCACTGCAGGTTAAACTACTGAAGCTTCTGTGCTGCAAAGTCAGAAGACCTGCAGTCGTAAGATAGAATCCACGCGACAGAGTGAGCCCCCGTTGCTTGTCCCAGCTCCTGCCAACCCTTTTTTGTGTAGTTGAAATACCCAAGGGTTATCAACAGCAGTTTTAAAAAGTATCCACACAAAAACAGAAATTAACATTTCCATAAACAGCATTAGTCTGTTCAAACTGTTCAGCTTGACTGAATATCCTTGGAAAGGGAATTCTGTAGTTCCGATCCAGTCTAAGAAAAGACCCTCTCTTGCATCCCAAAGGTTAAACTGGGAAAGAGTCAAAAAAGTGAAACTGAGGTACCAAAAAGGTGGAGATATTGATGGTGATGGTTTGTCTTGTCCTTTTCTTGGAGGGATTGTGTTCCTGCTTAATGATCAGCTTCATGTCCTTGGGATTCTTGTAGAGCCATCTTTGTCATGAAAGGCATAAGTATCTCATGTGGCTTAAGGATAAAGATAGTCTGACTTCCATTATGTGTGTTTTAGTAATCTTTTCTTTTAGATCACTGCACCGTATTGTACTTAGGCCTATCTCTGAAGATAGTCCAGACACTTCAGATAGTACATTCAGAACTGATTGAAACTGCTGGGTGTTGTGATCATGTTACACTGTTACTGTGTCATCTTTGCTGCCCCCAGATTTGTTTCTGGGCGCAAGTCAACATACTGGTATTCCCATATAAAGCTCTTGCAAGACTCTATAGAGTATGTTTTCTCATGTAACTCTAGGTGACACCTTAACATCATCAAATCATCAGCATTCAGGTGCCCTTGGATGCTGAGGTGTCTTTTGGGAGGCAGACTTTTTCAGTAGTAGTACGTTCCATCCAACCAAATGTAATGGAATGTCCTTCCCAGAAAGACTTGCCTGGTACCTGCTCTGTCTTGTGGTAACCAAACAAAGACCATTTTATCCTCTCGGAACTTTTAATCTGCATGCTATTTTGGCTGCTACATATAGTGTATTTTTAAATAGGCTTATCTCTTGCAATGTTTGAGTTGTTCTGATTGAAGTTGTTGTTTAGATGCCTGTTACTTTATCCTCTCTTGCTTATATTTGTTTGCTTTATTTGCTGTTTCTGATTCTGTATTTCTATGACATGTCACCCTGAGAGCTCGCTGCTGTAGTGCTTTTATAAATAAGTAAGCCAATTATGCTTCCACCATTGTCGGACCACAGAGAAGAACCTCCCTTGCAGAACCTGCAGATGGGTGGAAGCAAATAGGAAGTGGTTCAGTTCACAGTGACTGCCCTTAGTTCAGCGGGATGAAGCAGATGGGATGTAGTGTGGAGAACAATTGAGAATGAGCAAAAATGGTCCCTTGATCCAGATGCTGACTTCATTAGGAAGCTGGCCTTGCTCCTTCCAGCCATCTTGTTGCATGCACCTTTTTACATAAATATCTGCTGTTTATTTTTCTTGGGAAGCTCATCAGCTGCTGTAATTAAGCTGGGAGACGAAACATACCCATCTCCTAAAAGCGGGTGGTCCAACCTTCAGTGAACCGCTAGATGGGAGAAAACATATGTCTGTTTCCAGTGTGTGAAGAAGTGCTGTACAACCCACCCAAATATTTTTGCAACATATAGGACTTTCCTTTGCATGTGTTTCCTCATAATGCACATTTTCTTTACCCAGCGTGTTGTTAGTCTGTGGAACCCCTTGCCATAGGATGTGGGACACATTCCTGGAGGAAACGTTCATCAGTCCATCACAGGTTACAAGCCATGATGGGAATGTACAATCTCCAGGCTTCAAAGAAAGGTACCTCAAAATGCCAGATGCAGGGAAGAGGTATCAGGAGACAGGTATCTAGTTGTCCTGTGTGCTCACTGAAGTATCTGGTGGGGCCACTGTGTGATACAAGAAGCTGGACTAGATGAGTCCTTGGCCTGGTCCAGCAGGGCTCTTCTTATGTTCTGACTAAATAGTAGATGGAGTTTTATTTTTCTGTTCTTCAGGAAGAGGAGGACAAAGATGAAGAACTTTCCCCTGAGGAGAAAAGGACATTGGAAAGAAAGCTGAAGAAAGAGCGCAAGAAGGAGCAAAAGAAATTGATGCGAGAAACTGGGATCATAGCTAAGAAAGAAGAATCTAAGAAACCATCAGCATCTGAGTTGGCACTAGACTACTTAACTATGTAAGTTTGATGCCACTGTGAGGATTCCTAGAGAATAACAAATACTGTAGAACAGGTAATTGGTTTCAAATTCGCTACTCCTACATTTTCAATTCTGATATCCCTGGGCTTCAAATGGAGTAAGTGACCCATCATCACTGCCACACAGTCAACTGGATTTGTCATTCTCTTCAGTTTCAATAGCAGTTTGCCATATACCAGTGTGAGGAGGAAAAAAAATTGGGTGTGGAGGGAAGCAGGGAAAAGTACTTGGGCTTATGGAACGGGTTATGTGGCTGGCTGGATCACAACATGTCTCTTGCATCTGGAATTCCTGATTTTTTTTTTCAGATTTATCTGTTTAGCTTTCACTTTTCTTACACTGGCATATATAGGATTCCCAGGTAACCACCCACCCAGACACTGCTGACCCTCAGACCTTCTTAAGTTCAATAGAGTTGCATTGCATATCTTCAGGCTATGCTCTTGGTTTAATCAGGATCTGAGAATCAGTGGAAACACTGTTTAGAAGGATCTCAGGTTAACGTAAATGCTGGTGGTGGCTTCATTCTCAGAAAGATGTGAAAGGGCCAGGAAAGTGGGCTCTTCGTGAAGAAGAGTTTTTCTAAAGAGGGAGAGAGAGAATAGAAACTCTGCACTAAAACTTTTAGGCATACATCACAAAACCATAGTAAACAGAATGCTTGGAATGTGTGCTGTAAATATTTCTGCCAGAATTCTGTTTCATATTTATGCTAGCTTAAGTATAATTGCACAAATTGATGAATTGTGACTAATTAATGAGTTACTCTTCATGTTCCTGGTTGCATGACACTCACAGAACTAAGAATGCAAGCAGCATTTCACCACTATGATCTCTGCAATTTCACTCACCCAGCAGAAATCGCCCATTAGAATTCTTGCTTTCCCCCAACTGTTGCACAGCTAGTTCAGTTTCATTTACTAAGTTGATTTAATAGAAACAGATCATTCTTTCTTGTGCAATGAAATGGCATGAGGTGATTTGAAATCAAAGAGCTTGATATGACGCAAAGTATTATATAACATTTGATTGATCCAAAGAGCTCCACTATACTGTATTTTAGAACAGCTGGTGAAGAACAGAGCTTTCTATTTGCATACTGAGGTTTTATAATTATACTCTAGGCTACATGAACCATTCCAGACCTCAAATAATTATTTACCATAATTAGTATACTTGTGTGTAGGATTTAAAATTCCAGCAGGAGGCTGGGGGTAGAGAGGGACTTTGGTTAAAGTAAAAATCTGCCATAGTGGGCTACAGCCAATTATAGGATCCAGTTAAACAAAAAAGTAGTATTTACTTTTTCCATTCAGTAACTCAGCCCCCACTCTAAAATCCAGAAGACTAGCATGCTACACAATACAGTTTGCCATTTGGGATAGTTCCAGTTCCCTAATTCCAGCAGTGCATAAAATACTGAGAAACTCTGAATGATTACTCACTACTTCTCCTCTCTTTACAACTCTTTCAGTGTCAGGATGAGATTAATTGTACTCCAGACTGGATGACATGCATTTTTTGTTAGATAACTCTTGTAATGGAGTGACTCTGGAATGGCAGGAGTCTCTCACTGAGAACATCTGGAATCTTTCAACATTATTTTGAAGTGTTCTTGGATGGGCAGTTGTCTGCTATATGCTCAAAATGTAGTTCAAAATATATTTTAGTGGTTATCACTATAAATCCAAACAGCAAAGGAATAAACTGGGAGCTTTTCGTTTAGCATCCTATCGAATTATTTAGGAGTAGGCAAATATAAAAGCTGCATGGTGCTAGTTTTCATTGGCCGCAGAATGCAGGTTTAGCTCTAACAGAGAAGTGTTTATGTTTTTACATAAACTGGGAAGATATATTGTAATTATTTCTGTAATCTGATATCCGTTGGTTTACATGCAGAAGCCATGTTTCTTTCAAAATATCATTTTTGCAGTTATGTCAATGAAAGATCTGCAACATTCAATAACTGCATTAAGATTCTTATAGAACTATTTGACTTGTTATGGAGGAAGCTAATGCTGAAAAACTAGTACTCAGACTACCAAAATGTGTGTTCTTATTTGATGTATCAGTGGTGTGCTGCTGAGTGTTACTGGTCAGTCCTCTGCTTTTATAGTTAAACCATACTGGCAAGAGGTCTGCACCATTGTCAAGTTGGAAGTCATTACACAGAGATGCACAGATAAAGTCTACAGTTCATAAAGACCCTGCATGGTACAGTAACCCCAGACATATGAAGTAAAATAAGAAATACTGGGTGAGGAAGAAGAATTAATTTTAATAACCAGGGACTCTCTCATTGAATTGTGGGATCTGTAGTTTGCTACAGCTACTCATAATTCTGTTGAAGACCCTTAATCCCGTTCACTTTCTAAGGGCTCCTTTGGGGAATGTGTGTCAAATCAGCTTATGGCTGTAGTTTAAATACACTCTTACCTATTCCAGGAAAGGTATATGAGCCGTCAGGGACAATTTTGAGAATCCTCAGCTGACATTAAACAGGAAATTACTCATAACTTAATAGGATACTCTTTACAAATTTCCATGGTCATGGAAATGCCTTAAAGTGACTTTCAGTGCTAATAACACCTTGTAATTGAAGGTGTATGAATGCCTGCAGTTAAAAGAACAGATTAATTTAGTCATGTTTAGTTATAGTTAAAAGGATATCACCTCATTAAAAAAATGTACACTCAAAATGTCAAACTCCAGCTCTGAATTCTTTTTTTAAAAAGTGTTTGAGTGTAGCTGGTGGTAAAATAACAATGGTAACATGAATTCATTTTCATGTAATATTTCTGTTCATGCCACATACTGCTTACAGTTAGTACTTGTATTTAGCTATCTTTCAAACTGAAGCATTTGCCATGAATTTCTGTTGGCATTCTAATATTTGTATTGCTGTTATAAAAGGCAGTTGGGTGTTTTGGTTGAGATGGGATGTTGCTTTACAGAACAGCTTCTGAAGTTCTTTTGCTGATCTGATTTTTTGATACATAACAAGATACAGAGAGAGAGAGAGAGAGAAGGAAGGAAGACTTCAGAAAACAAACCCTCCTAAGATTTCTTGACTGTTGCGAACGTACTTTTATGGATCTCCTTTGAGGGCTAGGAAGGGTAATATTTCTGCTTCTGAAGAAGTCATGGAAGTAAAAAGAAAAGAAACACTGTCTTCCCTTCCCTTTTGCCGAATTATCTGTTTGGATGTTTTTACTTCAGCCACTTCGTAAGGTAGGATGTGGCTTGCAAGGAGCAGCCCACAAGGAGTATCCTGCCAAGGAATGGTTGTTAATATCTTAAGCTTTCGAAATGCTTCACAACAGAAAGTCGTCAGACAGAGCCAGCAGAGGGCAGGTTTCAGAGCCCTTCTTCTTCTCAAGAAGAAAATAGGACAACATACAGTATAACTTGCTCTTCAGTATGATTTGGGAATGAAAAAGAAGGGAAATTAAAAGGAAGATATGATCGTTCTACTGCCTTTTAAATGTTTAGTACCTCCCTTCCCCAAAAAGTGTTTCAAGGGGAGTTTATAATCATTCAAAATAAGTCTTTCACAGTACACTTTGAAATAATAAATCCATACAGTCCTGCAACATATCTGAGGAAAGAAAAAGTTAAAGCTTGACTCTTAAAATAGTAATAGTTTTGGGACCAATTGTGCTTCCTTCCTGATGCAAACATTTGTAGGCAGCCTTTCCTATTAATATGTACACCAGGAGAGAAACAATTTGCTCTGTCTCCCAACTGATTCTTATACTGATGTCTCTTATTCAGGTCATGTATCATAGTTTCCAGTTCAATCTTATTGAAGGCTTACTTGTGAGGGTTAACATGTGAGTTAAAAATGTAGAGAATAAGAAATGTTCTTGTCAGTGTAGGAAATTCCCACTCCAGGTCTCACTTTCACTCTAGACAGATGTGGTCAAATTAGTTTCCATTTCAGCTGTGGTGCTTGATTTGCAGTATGAAAATCGTTTTATTTCAGAGGGCTGTATGTAATATTGAGATGGTTTCCTGCACAATTACAGAATCCATCATCTGCTGAGGGTACAACTTGAGGCAGATTCAGGATGAAAGACACAGTGCAGGTACAACCCGCATACTTTGAGTTTGGTTCAGAACCATGGAGAGCACTGTTATAGCTAAAGTTCTGACAATTTACGCCAGTGCTGACTGGGAGCAACTGGCTGGCCTTTGAGGTGAAACTAGAGGATGCTTCTGAAAGCTCCATGCCCCTCAGGGGACGTACTTGGTTATTAAACGATGAGCAGCTTTTCCCGGAAAGCAGTGGCTTCTGTAGAGGGGTGGGTGGGTTGGAAGGGCAGGAAACCTGTTAGGAATTGCTTCTCAATATCTTCCATTCAGAGGGGTTGATTCCAATGTCCTTAGCATAATGGAGACAAAGCAAATGCTGGATTAGATTAACCACCTACAGCCTTTTAACAGTCCATGAGAATGTTGCAACTAGAATGTTTATGTTCAGCTGATCAATCAACTAAAAGTAATTCATCAAACAATTTTGATAAACAGCAAAAGTGCCTCAGGTTAATTGGCTTTATTTTATTTATTGTATAGAATCCTGTTGGTTTTTGTATAAGTTTTAGCTTGCTTATTGATTTATTGATTTATTTATTTATTCATTCATTCATTCATTCATTCATTCATTCATTCATTCATTCATTTATTTATTTATTTATTTACTCAATTTTTACCCCGCCCCTGTAGACAACGTCTACTCGGGGCCGCTTACAAAAATTAAAACACATTAAAACAATGTAGAGAAATAACTAACATAATGCAATTATTATAATTAATATTATCCAAGATGGCAACATTAAGAACCAGAAAAAAGGGGG